TGTATTTCATAAACCTATAGATAGGGATATTTCATGAATCAGACATATAGATGTCCAGTGATTCCTTAAACATAATTTATCAGTATTTTACGGCGAGTTAGTTATTAGTTACTTTAAAAGTAAAAACATAATGTAATATACCTTCCAACGAACGTACGCAAGGAACATTCATTTTACAGCTTAACCAATTGAAATATGTTAGTGTTAAGAATTGTGTTCGGAGAACGTTGTTAATACATTCTGATTGAGGCAAGTAATGTTTTTGTTGACATTGATATCCGAATTCCGTCATTGTGATTATTAATTTTTCGTCTTTGTCTTCTTTGAGTTTGATATCCGATACGAAATCATCTAGACTTTCAATGTTTTCCAGTTCCTTTAACCTCGAGTGAACGTCCGACTGCCATTGCTGAACATTGAATTTTCCATATAAAAACACTGCTTGCATTCTGTGTACATATTTGTAAAAGTCCCATAACGTGATACTTATCGATTCTCCTGGGTTATTTTGTTTTCGTACATAGTTGGTTTTTATTATTCTAAACAAATTGAAAGTCAATAAGCTGTGGAAACACTCCAAAGAAACGAACATTTCCTTTAGACTTTGTAATACTAATTTTTTTTTTGGTCCACTAAGGGGATCAATATTATAAGGTGTCGATAATAGCCATATGTCATCTTCGTCGAGTGGAGTGACTCTTATTTCTTTTGAATATTTTTGAAACACCCATTTCTTAATATCGCCAATAACACTGTTCAAACGTTGCAGGAATTTAGCATCAAATGTCCCTTCGAATATATCAACAGTTTGCTGAAATACAAGTAAATTATGATTTACTTACATTGGATTACACGTAGTAACACATTGAATACATTAAGCTATTTCTTGTCCTATACATACCAATAAAAATTCCTCTAAATTTCATTCTTCCTTTTTTTTTCATTCAATCACACCAAGACATCACAGTTGAACTTTTAAAATAAGATTTTGTGAAAATTACCTAAGTCTAACTCCTTAACAAATGGGGCTATGACGTCCTCTTAGATAACTAATAATATAATGTGCAATAAACGCTGCAAAGAATAATATATATACATATGTAATAATAATATACATATATACTATTGTACACAGATGTTTAAGCGAATAAGAAATATAAGGAAAACATGTTTTGCAAAATATTATTTTTTATTTTTACCAGAATAAAATCGATAAAATAACAGTGAAAATCATTATAAAATCGAACAAAACATTTAAAATTATATATTTTATCGACTAATTTTTGAGCTTAGCAATGTCCAACTATGGTTATAGAATATAGATGAATTGATACTTAAATTAGATGATAGATTAACATAATTTATTATACTATCTTGTACGCTTCTATACGGGGTTTAATATAAATATAAAATGCAATTAACAGGGTTGATTGACTTGATCAGGCCATCTGATTAGTCCAAACTGTTATTTACATCTTAATATAGAAAAAGTGAACCCATACCAATCACTAAAAAGTGTCCAACAGTATTTTGAACTATTTAAATGATATTGTAAAACTATAATTACTTTACCTTTGACTCTGGAATTAAATTTGTAGTTATAATAAAACAATAAAGTATTAACACTAACATATTCTTTATTAACTCCATTGTACAAGTCTGTTGCGCTATAACAATATACGACTGAAATTTCAAATAATACAAAGAACCATCCTCTGTTTTTTAAGTAGAACAAATTTTTTTCCTATTTATTAGATATCATACAACGCGTATAGAAAAACATCGTCGTACAATAAATATAATATGCATAAATTTAAATAGTTCCGCTATATTGGCGGCTTACAATTATTATTATTTAAATAAGTATCGCATGTTAGAGATTTTGCTTATACTGGGTATTGTTTTTTTAAATGATACACTTAATATCTCTTATGACTTATGGTTCGATAAGTATTAAAATTTTTGTTTTTTGTATATATTATCATTAGAAAAAGTTCTTTGTTACAGAGTGATTCTTTTATCATGCGCCACTCAATATCTCACTGGGTTTAATTAATAATTTAATAGTTTTTTTTCTTAATAGTGTTTTTATATAATGTGATGTAAATTTTCGACAAACTCTTTATGTTCCTACCCCCTCCCAAATCAGTTTTTTTGATAGCAACTTTTGAATATATTTTATTAACTTTTTAAATTAATAATATCTTACTAAAAATGTTGACTGGTTGTTGAACGACTATTTTTAAATTTATAAGAGTTAAAAAGTTAGGACGGGAAAGGAAGTGCGGGTGGAAAGCGCGCGCAGATAAAAATAATACTATACTCCACCTTTCCTCCTGTCCTTAACTTGAAACTTCAATAACTTCAAAATCAGTAATCCAATACTGGTTTTCGACCAAACAAAATTTTAAGTACATTAATCTCAATTTAAAAAGTTAATGATATGTTTGCGTTACCATTTAAGGTTCAAAAGTTGATTTCAAAATAATTAGTTAGGCAAGGGGTAGAAACATAAAAGTTTGTGGAAAATTAAGATCACATTATATGAAAAAAAATATATATATTAATTAAACCCAGTGAGATATTAAGTAGACCATGATAAAAAAAATCACTCTGTTAAGGATTTTGTTCATACTCTTTGATTTTTTTTTAAACTATACACTTATTATCTCTTCCGGTTTGATAAGTATTTACATTTTTATTTTTCATAAATATTATCATTAGGTACAAAACGTTCATAGATATATGACACAGTAGGTATAACGTATATTTAAATAGCATTTAAAAAATTAAAACAATAAGTTATCCGTCTGGGTTCTGCCAGACGGGTTATCATGATTTTCGCTAGACCCCATTATTTATTTTGACTTATTATTGTTTATTTTGGTTTATTTCGACTATAGCTTCTAACGTTCTGTTATATTTTGATTGGATGTCATAATTATTTGAATGTCTAATTTATTATCTAAAAACGATTTTTTAAATTATTATCTCTTTTCTAAAATATTACCTACGTAGTTTGTTAGGAATATCTGGTCATGTGGAAATAGTTGAGTTGTTAGAGTGATTTGTCGGCCTATGTTTACAAAGAGATTTTTTAGCATTTGACAGCCCAAAGTATTCATACCTAACACATTTTTTGTGTGTTTCGCAGTTTTTATACAGTGACATATTGTGTTAAATCATTATCTTTTGTTTCTTTTTTTTTTGTTATGATAGTTTTTAGTTGCTTAAATTCGTGTAAATGGTTTTATAAGCTCTGACGTATATCTGAGCAGTTACTGGTTGTACCGAGATAACACGTTTGTAAAGTTAGCCTCCTCTGAATATTATTAACACCGATCCATGTACACATGCATACATGTTAACGAAAAGCTTTTATTGCACTGCTTACCAACGTCAAAAATATAGCTAATAACACAAATATTTTTTTTAGTCATCGAAGGCAAACTTTTTAGATACAGAAGTATAAAATTTGTTTTCGGCTTTAATATCTGTTTCTTGTTTTCGACTTAGGCTTGGTTCAAAAAACAAAGAATACTGAATCAGTAAACAATGTTCGTTCAAATTAAAAACTTTAAAAAACAGACTTTATTTATATAATCGAGCATAAGTATGGAGGACTAAGGTGCTAATCTTCTGTCTAACGCTAGTCGTTTTGAAAGCCCAGATTTAGTCATCTAAACCAAACGTTTTGGATACAAAATATATGACTTGTTTTCGACTACGTTGTTGTTGGTTTTTTAAACAAAATATAATATTTTAGTAGAGGATTTCATTGTACGCCGTTTATTATACTTCTTTAACATTGACAAACCGAACTTGACTTACAAAAAAACTTACCGTAAAATTTTAGTGTTAATATAAAATTATAATTGTTTTTCCTATTATAGCTAAAGAAGTTTTTAGTTGATTTACACTGTCACTGGTTAGAACCATTTTGGCATCCAGGCGTTTGTTTAAACAATTTTTGTAATAAAGAAATTTAATTATTTCAAGAAGTAAAAATTTTGAAGTGTAAGTATTATACCGTCGACATCGTGCCACATGTGACCAAATGACAAAAAGTGGCCAAGCGCAAAAAGATGTATTAATGACTTATGTGGTAATTTTTAACACATAAATTAATTACTGAAGACATAGTGGATAATAATAAATATCTCTTAGTAATAAAACGCATCTAATAGAAACTAATAACAATTACTAGAAAATGTGTACTCTTTTTAAAGTAAGAACCTAATTAAATCTATTTTATGCAAAATCTAAGTCCATATTGAATTCAACTCTAGCTGTTATTAAGCGTTCTTATTAAATGTGCTTATTTAATTGATTTAAGTGCTTTAATCGCTAAATCCTGATATTATAAAATAGAATACAAATAGAATATCGTAAATCGTATATTACATTTTATTATAATAATATCAGTTCAAGAGAATTATTCTTAAAACGGATGGTTTATTATTGAAAGAGTTTTAAACATATTAATGACGATGTGAAAGTAAACTCAATGTATTAAATTAAATTAGGTTTTATATTAAGTTTAATATTAACAATATTTTTTCAATATAATTGTATTACAATACATTATTTGCGAATTACATATCTGTTGTAAGTCGATACATATTGAGGATAAAAAAGTTCGGGAAGCAAATAGTTCTCATAAAAGTAATCAAGTTCTTTTTTCATTTCATTTTCCCAAAAACCATCGTCCCTGTTGACTTTCGTATAGAACAATCCTGTAATTATCAAAATACTTCGTTATAAGACTAATAACGGATTTCTCTAAACAAACATACCCGAAGGATTCCAAACTACAAAATAACAGTATTCCTTTTGTGTAACATGCAACTGTCCTTGTACTTGATGATAGGAATCCGAATTTGTTCGAAATCTAATATCATTAGTTTCGCCGTCAGGTGCGTGAAAAAATTGCGTAAGGCCTCGGTTGATAGAATCTATCGGAGGCACATCTTTTGCTTTGTTAAGGCACTTGACTAGAACTATGCCGTCGTCTCCAACCAAACCGTCTGGCCTCGCTGCCAAATAACTAAACTCGTGATCCACAAACTCCCCACAAGGCATAACTTTCAATTTCGTTTCGTCTTGAAAAGATTTTATACCCATTATTTTGTGCGTCTTTTCATACCTGAATAATCGATCAACAACACATTGCGTTTAATTATTATTACAAACAATATCCATAAAGTTGCTTCGAGTGTGGATAGATAGGCGTTGGGGCGAGTTACATATTTTGTCATTAAACCAGTAGGTGGGTGCCCACTGCGAAACCGGCAACTGATTGTAGCAATATTGTATTGAAAAAATGTACTTACCTCATCGCATCAGATTCACTGTAGTCAGCCAAAAGAATATATTTCAAAACACTAGAAGGGGTCACTTGAGGTCCTGGCTTGCAAACACGACCAAATTTAGAAGCATACAGTCTGAACTCATTTTTGTTTTCGACCAACTTGGTTGAATCACTAGTTTGACTTTCTAAGAAACCCATTTCCGTTCGACTCGACTGGAGGCCTTCGAGAATTAATTTCTCCCTTTCTTCCATTTCTTCTTCGGGTAGTCGAAAGATGTTTCTAGTGACTTCGCCTACAGATGTATTTATTAATTGGTTTACCTTTGAATATCAATGGTGGCTGATCGTCCTTAAATACCTTCGATTGAGTAATTCCTTAAGTATAATTTATCAGTATTTTACAGTGAGTAGTTCGTTGGTAATAATAATTAAAAATGTTCTAATTAATTTTATTGTAAAAATTCCATAATTCAATGAAAAAAATTATGACTTAATGGGGGATAAACTACACAATTATACGATAAAGATGATTATATTGATAAAATAAGTAATAGTGGTACAGTACTTGGAATAATACCGTCCACGTGGACAAAATAAAATATTATATTGACTACTCAAAGCAATTAAAGTAAAAACATAATGTAATATAGTTACCTTCCAACGAACGTACGCAAGGAACATTCATTTTACAGCTTAACCAATTGAAATATGTTTGTGTTAACAATGGTTTTCGGATAACTCTGTTAATACATTCTGATTGAGGCAAGTAATGTTTTTTTTGACATAGATATGCGAATTCCGTCATTGTGATTATTAATTTTTCGTCTTTGTCTTCTTGGAGTTTGCTGTCCGCTACGAAATCATCTAGACTTTCAATGTTTTCCATTTCCTTCAACCTCGAGTAAATGTCCGACTGCCATTGCTGAACGTCGAATTTTCCATAAGAAAACACTGCTTGCATTCTATGTACATATTTGTAAAAATCCCATAATGTAATATTAATCGGTGCACCTGGGTTTCTTCTCTTTTCTCGATAGTAGACTTTAATTAATCTAAACAAATTGTAAGTCAATAAGCTATGAAAACATTCCAGCGTATCAAACATTTCCTTTAAATATTCCAATGCCGAGCCTTTTTTTATTTTAAAATGCAGTTCATCTTCATAAGGTGTCGATAACACCCATATTTCATGTTTGTCGAGTAAAGTGACTCTTAATTCTTCTGGATATTCGTGAAACACCCATGTATTAATATCGTCAATAACACTGTTCAAAGATCGCAAGAAATTAACATCATATGTCCGTTCAATGTTATTTGCAGTCTGCTAAAATACAAGTAAATTATTATTTAAATTTAAGAAGTACCCTAAAAATTAATTTTTTTTTTTTTTATTTGATTAACACAGGAAATTTGTTTTTTTTAATACGAGTATTGTGTATTACCCAATGAATTTAAAGCCACACATACATAAGCAGTGGTGTACTATTATTTTTGGTGATTATTGCGGCACAAGGAACCGGTTGCCTTTTTACGGCCTTGTCAAAAAAAATAAAATATATTTCTTTACAACTTTAAATGGATTCCCAAAAGAGAGTTCTAATTACTGCATTAATAATCACATCTGTCTATCACACCAACCCATAAAAAATGTGAAAAATTACCTATACCTCATGGCTCATTCCATATTAACACGGGTATGACATCCTATTAAATAAGTAATAACAGCTGTGTATACCAATATACGTAATAAATACTGCACAGAACAATATATGCATGTATGTTTACAAGAAAAAGAAATATAAGAAAAACATGTTGTGTAAAATAACATTCTATATCTTTACCAGAATAAAATTGATGAAGAATTGAATTACGTTAAAATTATTAGAGTAATGAAGATCATCACGAAATCGACAAAAAAATGTTAAGTCATTATTTTTATTTGACTAAATTTTGAGCTTAGCAATGTCCCAATATGATTATAGATGAATCGATACAAAAATTAGCTGATTAATTATCATATTTTATTATACTCTCTTGTACGCTTCTATCGGGGGTTTAATATACAAATAAAATGAATATAAACCGGCTTGACAACAATTGTCAGTTTATCCGATTAGTCCAAACTGTATTTTTACATCTTAACATAGAAAAAGTACCTAAACCTATATCAATCACTATGTGTCCAACTGTATTTTAAATTAATAAAATTATATTGTAAAACTATAATTACTTTACCTTTGACTCCGGAATTAAATTTGTAGTAATAATTAAACAATAAAGTATTAACACTAACATATTCTTTATCAACTCCATTGTACAAGTCTGTTGTGCTATAACAATATACGATTGGGATTTAAAATAATACAAACAACCATTCTCTGTTTTTTAGGTACAACACATTTTTTTCTATTTATTACATATCATACTACGCGTATAAACACTTATAGAAAAATATTGTCTTACAATAAATATAATATGTATAATTTTAAATAGTTCTGCTATATTGGCGGCTTACAATTTTTAATATTTAAATAAGTTTCGCATGTTAAGGATTTTATATATTTTTTTAAATGATCCACTTAATATCTCTTTGGGTTTAAATAGTAATTGAATTTTTATTTTTCGTAGTGTTTTCATACAACTTTATCTTAATATTTGATAAAATTCTATCTTTTCAAACCTCTTTTAATTTAATTATTTTTATAAAAAACTTTTGAAACTTAAGTGGAACTCTTTAAAAAAAATCCCCTTGTATATAGATTTATAAATTGTTTTTTAATGTCAAATATGTTTTTAAAGCTATACAACGATATTGTAAACGGTTACTGTATCATAAAGTCATACATATTTTTTTAATTGCTCTATTTAATACTCTTATACATATTATGTGTGTAATGTATATAATATATATATATATATAGTATACTTTTAACCTCTTAAAACTCGACATATTATAACTAGCTAAAAAAAGTGTAATTTGTAATTGATCTAATTAATTGTTTTGTCTTTGTGTAAAGTTACAAACAAATATTGAATAACATGAATATCAAATTGATTTTGGAATCATTTAATGTGATCTTTCTTACAATGATTTTATTATAAGAAAAAATGAATGTACTCTCAGAAAAAAACTACAAATCGGTTGTGTAAAACCACAAACTGATTTGTTGTTGTCATATCATTTAGCATTTATTACCATCATTTCAACACATTTCAGCATCTATTATTGAATTATACTCAGTTATGTTTGGATCAAAATTGTTTGTACTTATAAGTATGTTTACAAACAGAAGGGTTGCAGCTAGCTAGTTAGCGAACCGCACTCGCGTAGTTACTGTGACTAATTAGTTTCATTATTTATATTGTGATAGTTTATTCACTATTTGCTTACATCGTTGTGCCAAAGAGCCAAGTAGATTGTTAGCTGTTAAATAATACATACACTATATTGCTGTGCCAAATAGACTTTATAATTTTTTATGTATACGAACATGTATATATATTTTTTTTTTTTTTTGCAATCTTATTTTAGCCTGGACCGAGTGCAATGTACAATGTTTATTGTAATATTATAACAGTAGTTTTCGCGTTTATATAACAACTGGTTAGTAGGCTGATAGGCTCGAATGTATACGCTTGTGGACAATATTTTAATAATAATAATTATTATTGTACTAGTTTATTGGACTGTAGTACACACACACACACAACTATAAGCCGGACAGGAATTGCGCAAAACCAATGGACGAGCGGCCCAAGCGTTGTGTCATTAATCTCTGTCAAAATTGTGATTGAACTAAATCGTTGTTTGTACAGCTGAGTGAATTGAATTGTATCTGTATTCTACGGATGACAATCGAACGACTGTTGCAAACAAATCGAGACCAACGGGTGTGCACACAAAATATGTACTCAAGTTATTTTTTTTTTAACGATAACACAAAAATATATACATACATATATTATATTTAACAACAATGGAAATTTGCTACGCCTTAAAGCATCGTTAACTCTGGAATCTGCAACCTTAACGTAGTACCTTAAATCCTGACTCGAACGATAACAGCTATGAAATATTTAAAAAAAATCGTTAACCCTACGATTTCTAGACCATTACTTAATTTCTAATATCGAATTTAAGTTGGTATTTCCAAGCGTCGAAACTGGCTTGTTGAAAAATACAATGTTGAACATTGAAGGATATATTTGTATAAACATGGTTGTGCTAAGACTACTTTATAATTGCCGTTTATCTAATACCTTTTAGAAACCAAATATTTTTTTATTTTAAACCCAACAATATGTTTATTTTTATAGTGATTAATATTTTATATTTTTCATAATACTATCATGTAAACCACTTGACTAATAATACAGAGGTCGACTGCTCTTTCTTGTTATAGGTTAAAAAATATATTATTCTTACTTAATAAAGGCATTTACGCTCAAGTACCGAAATAGTTTGATAAAATAAAATAAATAAATCTGCTTGCCAATGTATACGTATAATTTATCTTTTAATTAGATTTTAGTAGAAATTAAACAATGGTTTTAAGCATTGTTTTTGAATACTTGGAAGTCGGATACAATTAATTACTTCACGCACAAATTAAGTTTAGTAAATTGCTAATAGCTTTACTGCTTTAGCCTTGAAACTATTCCCTAAACATTTATTTATAATTGGCTTAAAATGTGTTGTTGTTTTTGTAATGTATATTATAGCCGATACTTTAAGATCACTATTAATACATTTAAAAATATACAGCGTGTGTTCAAAGTACTTTGAGAAACACTTCCTCAGACACAATATTATTTGTAAAACGATAAAAAAAACATTTAAATAATACAAGTAGGTATTGATTTAAATTAAAATTGTTATCGTTTTAATGACAAGCGTATGTCATACTAAAATGTACTTAAGTGATTTATGTGCAAACGTTTTTTTATTTATATATACCTGCAATAATAAAATGGTTTACTCTAAGTAAATGTTGACCAAATTCAAATAATTGCACTAAACCAATCCATTCGTTTTGACCGTTCCGATATAAGCTTCCAAATCGAGCTGAAAGAGACCATTCGAAAATTAACTATGGCCACTATCAGGATATCGTGTCTCCTAACGGGACTGCTCGCAGTCTTGTAAGTACCTACAAATGCTTTACTAATAATATATTACTATTTTTGTGACGACTTTTCTTAACTAAGCGAATAATTACAGTATGTAAAATATTTAAGCTCGATAATATGTTTAATCTTATAGCTGATGTCGGATAATTTAAAAACACAACAATTTATTTAAAAATATTCTATGGTAGAAATTGGTTTGGATTTTATATCTTTTAATTAATTTCATTTGAAGTTAAATGAGAACTTTAAAAGCGAAGAGTGCAATTTTATTTCTAAATAATTGGTTAAATAAATTATGCCGTTTATCATAATGTGTTGTAACGGTCACATTTAGCCAAGCAGACACGTTACAGTGTAATATGACGTTTTCTACCTTGGTTAATTTTTTTAGTATTTTAAAAATGTACAAGTATTTTTTGTAATTTTAGCTTGGGAACCGAAGTCCATGCGTTCGGTTTGGGCAAACTAATGAGCAAAAATGATAAAGCTACTACGTCTACGACCACTCGTTCGGTTACTACCGTGACGACGACCACGGTTTTTAGTAAAAACATTTGGGCTTCGAAAAATTTGAGCAAATCGATAAACATCAACATGCAAGATGTATGCTACAAGCTGGGTTACAACTTAGAAGGCCAATACGTAGTGCCGGAGTTTTTGAAGTTGCTGGACTCGCTGAACAAAGCACAAGTCAGCATGGCTTCGGAAATCGTGTACCCCAGGGACTACAGCATGTCGTTGCAAGACGGCGAACGGGTAGACGTGATAGTGTTGGGATCAGGAGCGGGCGGTTCATTGTTGGCCGCTAAACTCAGCGACAACAAGGATTTAAACGTGTTGTTGATAGAAGCCGGAGACAAGCCGCCGTTGACCTCAGAGATCCCGGCACTTTGGGCGGGATTCGCCAACACCAAAATGGAATGGAATTACCGAGCCCAGGAAGACGAGACCTTCGGTCAGGGTTTGGATGGCAGACGGGCGAAAGTAATACGGGGACTGTGCGTGGGAGGGACGACCGCCGTGAGTCCAATGTTGTACGACCGGGGAATACTGGCCGATTACTTGGCGCTGGAGGCCGCGGGTCTGACGAAATGGGGATGGAAAACCGTGATGCACCTGTACAAGCGGTCGGAGGACTGTCGGTTCGAGACGATCACCTCGGACAAAACCATCAAACAGTCGCACAGTCTTGGCGGAAAAGTGGTGGTCGACTCATTTAGAAACCGACTGACCGTGGACATCCGGAAGTGCTACGACAAGGCACTGGCGCCGGAACACTACAGCTTGCTGGACTTCGCCACGGTCAAGAGTCACCTGGGCTTTTTCTCGTCCGTGGCCATGGTCAAAGACGGCATGCGCTTGAACGCGGCCAGAGCGGCTTTGTCCGACGCCGGCAGGAAGTACAACTTGAGGGTGGCGGCCAAAACTACGGCGAAGCGATTGCTGTTCGAGGGCAACCGAGTCACGGGTGTGCTGGTTGAAAACTCGGCCGGCGAGACGATAACGGTGAAGGCCGATAAGGGCGTGGTCGTGTGTGCCGGTCCGGTTGGCACGCCGCAACTTCTCGTCCAATCGGGTGTCGGACCCAAGAATCTGCTCGGCTCGTTGGGAATTCCAGAGGTCGCCGTCAACGAGCGCGTGGGCTTGAACTTGCAAGCTCACCCTACCTTTTTGGGCCTGCTCGTTGCGTTCGACTCGCCGCCGCTGAAACCGTATTCGATTAGCGAAATGGTCTTTGAGTATTTAATGAAAAAGTCCGGTCCCCTGTCCAACATAGGCATGACCAGTTTCACCGGTTTCATCGACGTCGACAAGGACGGCCATCCGGACGTTCAAATACATTTGTACTACTACAGTCAAGAGGACACGGTCGTTATGCCGGCACAATTGGACGCGTTCAATTTCAACGAACACGTTGTCGAGCAGATCGTCAAGTTTAACGAGGAAAAAGCCGTTCAGCTCATCGGCATTTCGCTGATGCGCCCCACGAACACCGGCTGCGTGACCATCGAGAAGACGGAATGTGGATACGAACCGGTCATCAAGTACGGTTCTCTGTCCGAGGAAGACGTCACCACCATATTGAAGGCCATCGAATGGATTAAGAAACTCACGGCAGCGGAGGCGTTTGTTAAATACGGTCCGAAAATCCAACTGCTCGATTTCAAAGGAGGCCCGACCCCCAATGTAGACTGTGAACAGTATTGGAGACACGCCATCAAACACTTGACCACGATGAACGTGCAAATGGCCGGTACCAGTTCGATGGGACTCGATGCTTCGAACGGTGTTGTCGACCAAGATCTAAGAGTTTTCGGCACCGAAAGCCTTTGGGTGGCAGACTCGTCTGTGCTCACCAAGTTATTCAGCGGTGAAAGTTGCGCTCCGACAATGATGGTCGCGGAAAAAGCTAACGACCTAATTAAGGAACACTTGGGATGCAAATACAAAGAAGAAGATTCCGAAGAAGATCCCAAAGAAGACGACTCGAGCGAAGAATGTAAAAAATAATAAAAAATAATTATTATTATTATTTTAAGATTCAAACTCTAAAATTGTTAACCTAACCTATGTAGACGTGTTAAAATTGAAATAAAGCTGACCTTAATACAGTATTATACATTTTCCAACGCGACATTTTTTTGTAGCGTCGTTAAAAACTAACACTTTATGAACCAATTCAAAGATAAATCATTATCAATGTTTTCCAATGAAGGGAGGGGGCGGGGGTGGAGTTATAAATCCAAAATGGTGACAGTCGGATTTGCCTGACCAGAAAAGTATATTATAGAAACAAAAAATGGCGAATAAAATACAATTTGTGGGTTAAGTTTTCCGAATGCACTGCGTTTTTTCTTTTTGAATATTTTCAACAAAAGCATAAGCTCTAAAGCATACATTGCTGTGCTGCTTACGGTTAGATTATAGGCTCAACTACTCTGTGCAATACGTTACGTTTATTTGCATACACATATATTTCATCTTAAAGTATACACTTATATGAATATATATATATATATATATATATGTATTATATTGGTTTTATTGTTTATATTATCGATTATATTTCCAAGTGGGTATATGTATTGGCTATAAATTTAACATAAGTCTGTGCCGTGTGGTAGTATCTCGTTACCGTTATCCAAAGCGAGATTTCCACTGGAAATCATATACAGATTTCGACGTTTTTTTTACCATTCTGTTGTTGACTATTTATGAGAAGGTATACGCGGTCCCGCTCTCCGGCAAAACGCCGTATAATAAACGTTTTAAAAAAATATGGTGACTTAAAAAAAAAGCCATCGAACGCAGGGTGAGTTTTAACGAAGAGCCATAAAAAACATTCGTGTGCTCTCCGGCCAATAATCAACGCCCTCGTTTGAAAACCAAAGTACGACACAGCGTCATAAAATACAAAACGGAAAAAAATACCATTTCGTTTTGTGCAGTAAATAATATCAATGTATTCTGCTACAGAAAACCATTACCTGGAAAGCCAGCATGAAAAAACGTTTCGTGAAAAAATAATATAATACATTGTCGTTATGGAAAAACAAAGAAAAGTCCAATATTAGAATAAATTATAGATAAATAATACCTTTTGCTTTACTAATGTCACATCATGCGTAGGTATCTACATTTAAAACAATCAAAAAATATACCTTCTAAAGTAATAATTGTATGAAAATTATTAATCCTTTATTTTCTTCTTTTTACATCCATTTCTTTCAAGCAAAGAACTTAATAACTATCAACTTATAAACGCATAAAAAACCTGTCTTACAAACACCTACTATTTTATTGCAATATATCTAGGCAAACTAAACATGAATTTACACATAAGTACCTTGCTTATGTAATTTAAAAAAATGTATTATAAACTGATATTTACGAGAAAATAATCTAATTAATTATTGGTACAAGGTGAAGTAGTGTAACCGACCGGAGCTGGCTCTTTGCAATTTCAGCGATAATGCCTTGTTCGAAAACCGTGGGTGTTTTACTGACTACACAATATTATGTTAAACAAATAAATTATTTTAATTAGATATTGCCCAGCGTTAAAAAGAGCAATTGTAAACAAAGTGAATAAAATATGTAAACATGATAGCTGTACTGTAATCAAATAGATGGCGATTTTTAATTTGTATGAAAGCATTTAACTACATAAGACGTTTATGTAGCTATCGCGTATCAAACATTGCAATTTCTTACCATAAAAAAAAAAGTCTAGTCGACTTAAGACCGTTTGATAAACAATTACCTCTCCTGGCCCTGGTTATTTCTACCGCATTCGAGCTAGAGGTTTTCAGTTGTTGCCAATCAATCGCTTCCTTCTGCTGAACGGCGTCACTGTGTATACTACCAAACGTACTCGAAAAAACTCACAGAACAAAACTTCATCTGTTTGAAGTTCTACATTCGAGTGGGGTAATTGTAAACAAATAGAGCAAACCTAAATTACCCATTTTTTTTTTTACCCAAGCAATTGGCAGGCAATTGATTCACCGAAATGACTTTAACACACAATTTGTAATAATCCGTCGGGCCAATAGTGGATTGCCGGCAAAAAATGTTCGGTTTAGCTTTCTTTTCGGGTCGAGTTTGTGATTAATGTCTAGCAATTGCAGACGACACTTGTATTTGGGTCGTGATGCTCTCCAAAGGTCGGCCGGCACGGTGCTGGGCGCACGCTGCAAGTTCAGAGCAAACGAGAAGAGATTATAATTAATTTTAAAGCTTCCGGCCGATCGAATTAATTGCCTCGGCGGGCGACAATGTGAAGAATTCCAACACCGCCGCCGTATCAAATGCTGCTGCTATGCTGCGCCACAGTGATAAATGATTTTGCCAAACGATCATTAAGAAAGGTCTCTTGCGATAACGAATCCGTCAGACTGTCATTGCACGGTGTAATGCTTGCAAGCAATTACAGAATATACGTTTTTCCGGTAGCGTCAAGTGTCCGTCGCGCAATAGCCTATAAAACATATCATATCATATTTAGTATAAAGAAATAGATCACAAAACAATGCATACATAACTTAAGCTGTGTCGCGTGAATGTACATAATATAAATCTTTTTCGATTAAAATATCTTTTCACTACCTTGGCGGTACACTTTGTGTACGGGGTAGGTAAACGGATCACACAATAATTGCAACGCGGATAATCTTTTACACCGTGTAAATATATATATATATATATATATGTGTCATAATGAATTATGTTCAAATTATACGCACACACACACACACACCGCGCATAGGTTACCCTAGCGTTGAGCGAAATATGCAAATGAGAATATTATTGAAATTAAATTGCACCGCTTGTAAGTAATTAATTAAAACATAACGACACGATGTATGACTATGTGTTGTGCTTAACAAGCTTATCTAGGGGCAAAACGCTGTATAATATGTAGTTGTTGTGTGCTGTGGCGTTTGCACTCGTGTATTATATTATGGTTATCTATACCTACCCTTTTATGATATGTACACCGGTTGCCAAACGACAAATTTGGAGTGTGGGGCTAGCGTGGCCGGATGAGCTCTCATTTCCAGGGCACCGGGCTTGCCCTCTTTAGGCACTTAAAATCTTATGATTTCCCACTTAAACCCGAACGTTAATTCCTCTTAAAAAACAACATAGACTATTATAGAGATCATAACGACCGAACGGGGGCTACTCTAGCCGCTTTTAGACACTCCCGACTAAAAGCCGTTAATCGCCATTGCTATTTATTACATGAATAATGGTCGATTTAGTTTGGAGCTGACGGCGTTTTATTTATTTATGTCACAGTTTTCCACTTTCCGTTGGCTGCAAATTGCCTTGACTGAAATTCAAATTCAACCGGTGATTTATACTATTCGGGAAAACTTTCCAAGTAGAAAAAAAAAAAACACCCAATCCCGTTCGACAGTTACCGAAAGTTTTATGTTTTTTCGGCCGTTATCATCGAATTTGTTTTTATACATATTGTATACTTATGGACCGTAAGGCGAGTATTGTACTTGAAGTTACGCCGTCGGGAAATATTATGTAATAGCCACTTAAGGCGGTGCTATCGGATTGTAAACATAATACACGTTTACTTTAAATTACCATTGTTTTTTTTTTGCATCAACTTTTCACATATCACGCACATATGTTAACCGTTAAAATACAATCAGCGTGCAAGAATTTTCGTAAAAGTACATGTTAACGCAGTGTTATATTGCCTCATTGAATTAGTCATCTTGACAAAAAAAAAATATATACATCAAAATATCGTAACACCTTAAAGGTCAGAGAATATCATGTAGCAGTTTTAAACGCGTTAACACTTAAAAAAATTGTCTCTTTATTGCTTGGGTAAAATTAGATTAGACGAACAATAGCTCCAGTATTTAGTATAAAACATAAAAGCATCGTGTTAGTTTGTCCATATAGTAGTACTGTGTGTTGCTTACATTGTACACTATACATTTTTAAACAAGGTATTCTTCGGGTAATTATTACCTTTTACAACAATCTTTAACAAATAATATAATATATTATCAAATGCATATTTTATACGGATAGAGCAAAATAACTAAAGCACAAAAATGTCTAAAAAAAAATGTGATTCTTATGCAAATGCGTTAAAACACAACGTCCAAAATTGTTATTATTATAATAGTTCGTTTTAACAAACGCATCCACCCCGGTCGAAACGCCTATTTTTAATAGCTCGGTAAATAAATAATTTTTGGGTAAAAAAAAAAATCTAAAATTAAATCAGGTACATCTGAAAGCGCCGCAGTTGATTTAGTCTTTATGAAAGTAATTTAAACTGTAACAGCATTAAAAAAATATAATAATAATAATAATACAAAGCCAACACCGTGTCGCTATAACTACCTCGTAGCCGTGTCGTAAATCACGTTTATCGTCTGCCTACAAAAAAAAAAAAAATACACCGCTACTATTTGCACACACAGCGCCTAAGTATAGTGTAATATAGTTTTTTATAACATAATATTATACTAGAGCAAAGGTGCTTATTGCGCTGATCCGGTGGTATAGAGGGTTATATCGACTTGGGCTTGTACGTTCAATTTTCTTATTGTCATCGAACAGCTCTATCAGATGCGACGGTTAAGTACGGCTTAAGATGGCGCAAATCCGGCCGGCTACCCCGTGGTAAAATCATCAACGATTATTATATTATTGTTTAAAACAGAAAAAATATATATATATAATATGTATAAAAAAAAAATAACGTTGGCCCCGGTGAACCATAAATAATGACCCGCCACTGTTGTGTATGGTAAAATGCAATATTGTTTAGGGTATGCTTAATTTTTTATTTTTTTTACAAAAAAAACCAAAAAACGATTAACGAAAAGGTTATGGGCAGCAGCCGCTGTGCCCCGTTAAAAATTCTATACACTATGACGTATAAAAGGCTTAGGTCGGGTTATACATACGTTCCTAAAAGGGTTTGATAAAAAAATATTACTAAATGCTATTGACGGTGAACACGGTCGTTTCAACGTCAATTGGGAATTCTACGAACCGATTCGTTCGTTGTGTTGTCTATTGTTGTACAAAATACATTAAACGAGCAATTATTCCTGGGAAGTTTTACTTT